GCACAAATTCATAAGAGTCTGGTGAAAGTGTGTGTGTGTTGTGTTAGTCACTCAGTCATCTTGAGCTCACCAGGCTCCTCTGTCCATGGAATTCTCCAGGCAAGAATACTGGAGTGGGTAGTACAGACCAAGGTACAGCATGTAAGGGAGGGTCAGCCTGTGAAAAGTCTTCTGGAGACTGAAACTCATGCACTATAGACATGGAATCAAATTCCCTAGCAGTGCAGATTAAGAGAAACTTTTTATATTGGATGACACAGAAAAAGGGAAAAGAAAAAGAAAAGTGCTGGAAGAAGGAGCAGGGAAAGAAAGATATAAAGAGACAAAGGAGCATGAGATAAAAGACTGTGAGTCTAGGAACTTTCCTGGTGTTCTGGTGACTAAGACTCCATGCTCCCAGTATAGAGGACCCAGGTTCAATCCCTGGTCAGAGAACTAGATCCCACATGCTGAAACTAAGAGTTCACATGCCACAACTAAAGATCCCTTGTGCTGCAACTAAGACCCGGCACAGCCAAATAAATGAATAAAAATAAATATTTTAAAGAATATATATATATATATATATATATATGTTTTGTTTTAAAGATTGTAAGTCTAGAGAGATGAATTCAAGTGTTAAACCAACAATTGCAGGTTGGGCCCTCGTTGGTTTGCATCCACCTGGTGACCAATAGCAACTTTGATGTAAAAATAAAGGTTACCTCATTTTCTTCTATTAATAAAAAGTCAGTTATGCCACCCTCAGCTATCCATTTAGTGGTGTGGCTTTGTCAACAATTTCTTTGAATGTGTACTATGATCATGGTGCTTTGTTGGATACGAGGTAATACAGAGACATACAAGTTAACACGGGGTTTCCCGGGTGACTCAGTGGTAAAAATCCTCCTGGCAGTGCAGGAGATGAGGGTTCGATCCCTGGGTCGAGAAGATCCCCTGGAGAAGGAAATGGCTACCCACTCCAGTATTCTTTCCTGGGAAATCCCATGGGCAGAGAAGCCTGGCTGGATACAGTGCTTAGGGTTGCAGAAGAGTCGGACTTAGTGACTAGACAACAATAGCAACAAGTTAATACAAACACAACAGGCTTCAAATAGAAGAACTGGGAAGTGTGCATCAAAGGATAAAGAGCAGCCCAAGGCAGCACGATGGCCATGGTGTGACCTTGGAAAGGAATCCTCTCTGAGAATGCAGGGGAAGGGCGGAGGCAGGAGAGGAGTGTCCGGAGGAGAAACCATAAGACCATCAACCTGAACAGGTCAAAACAAAGAAGGGTTTCTGGCCATTAGTCCTGAGTCCATACAGCAGGGACTAATCTGGCGGTTCAGTGGTTTAGACTCAGGGCTTCCACTGCAGAGGGCATGGTTCCATACCTGGTTGGGGAACCAAGATCTGACATGCCACGTGGTGTGGCCAAGAAAAAAGGTGCATATATTAATAGCAACTCTTCCTTGGAAAATGGCTAGTTTTGTAGATTTTTTTAAAACAGATTTATTATTTGGGGGGCACCACGCTGCACAACATGTAGGATCTTAGTTCCCCAGCCAGGGGTTGAACCCATGCCCCTTACAGTGGCATCTCAGAGTCTTAACCACTGAACCACCAAGGAAGTCCTGGAAAATGGCTAGTTTGGGGCATGACATAAGAAAAGTGCTTTAGATCAGAATCTACTAGACTGTGCTTAAGAAGTTTCCAAAATAAGAGAAAGGTCTTGGGATGGGGGGAAATGTACAGGGCTAGAACCCCCTTATGTCCCTCTCTGATTAGTAACCCCTTGGACTAGCCTTGGGGTGCAGAGAAAGAGGGGTGCTAGTGGCCTGCTCAGGCCTGTCAGAGGTCCAAAGATTCCTAGGTCACTGATTTTTGAAATCACAGGTATATCTTTATACATGAAGAAATGGAAAAACCAAGATATACAATTGTATATTTTAAGTGCTTATATTGAATAAAGTCATGCACATGTGCAGAAATACAACTATTTACTTGACGTCCTTTAGCAGTGGCGGTGGTCTAGTGGCTGATTCTGCATTCCCAATGCAAGGGGCCCAGGTTTGATCCCCAGTCAAGGAACTAGATTCCCACATGCCACAACTAAAGAGGCCACATGTCTCAACTAAGACCCAGCATAGCCAAAAAGTAAAAACAAACAAACAAAAAAACATTGGGATGACTCAGATTTAAAAAGGTGGAATGACTTTAAGGCCTGTCTAGCCTATGACTTGAAAAAAACACTTGTACTAACTGGAAATATGGTAGTAACAGTCACTTCCAGAGGAGTAATTGGCTCCCCATAGAAGTGGCATTTTATCAAGTCGAGTTTATACCTAAGCCTATCATGTGACAGGAAGACTTGTGCCCCACTGTGAGGCGATCTGCAGAATACAGGTCACATCCCAAGATCCGCCTGAGTATTCTCCCTTCTCTTCCTCTCTCGCCTATCTTTTAGTTTTCAAAGATCCCCAGTGATAAGAGAATAGGAGACTGAAAATTGGTAACTGATTAGGCAGTCAGAAAATCCTCAGAGGAAAAAAAAAAAAGAAAATCCTCAGAGGGACCTTTCTTTGTCTGGGGAAGCAAGTCCCCAGAGCAGTGTAAACAATTTTGATTCCATCAGTGAATCTCTATAAAGAAAAGTCACTATACATGTTGCCTACATTATATTCTGACAGAAGAGCTAATGAGTATAGACTTTGCTGCAAGTTTTATCGCCTGTTTCTGGATGAAAGCACTTTCTGTGGTGGATAAGCCTGGGAAGGTGGAGATGACTGTAGGCATCAGCCCTCAACCAAAAGCTTGAAGTATGGAATGCTTTTGATCATCCTCCCCGGTGGTCTTGGGAAGGAGCAAGCTTCTTCCCCCACCCTACTTCCTGGTTAGACTGAGCCACAGATGGCAGGATAAACTGGAGGTGGTGATGTGCACCAGTGGAGGGCAATACTCATCTATTCCAATGCCAGCCCCTGTGCCCTATCCTCTCTCCCAGTGTATTTTCAGAGAATGCTCTATGGAACTTTAGGGCATCCGCAGGATCTCTGGGCTTCCCCCGATGGCCCCAGTGGTAAATAATCTGCCTGCCGTGCTGGAGACACAGGGGAGTGCAAGTTCAAACCCTGAATCGGAAAGATCCCCTGAAGGAGGAAATGTATTTCTTCCAGTATTCTTTTTTAATTTTTCACGCCAATATTCCTGCCTGGAGAATCCCCATGGACAGAGGAGCCTGGTGGGCTACAATCCAGAAGGTCACAAAGAATCAGACGTGACTGAGCAGACAAGCACAGGATCTCTAGGCCTTCCTTGAAACCTAGCGTCTTCCCAGCCTGGTTCCATCTCTTCAAGGCTCAGCTTGAGCATCAGATCAGGGCTTAAGGCTAGATACTATACCTTTTTGGACAGTACTTGAAGTGAAAAAAGAAGGATATGACTTGTATGTGTTTTTATTTTTTATTTTTACCAAAGAACTAAGAAAAATTTACCTAGGTGCAGGTACATTTCACCAAAATGAAATGGAATGGTTTCAGACTCTTGAAAAGAAGCAGGACAAAAAAATAAATAGTAGGGGACTTCCCTGGTTGTCCAGTGGTTAAGACTCCATGCTTCCACTGCTGGGTGCACGGGTTCGATCTCCAGTTGGGGAACTAAGATCCCACACACTGCACAGTGCAGCCGAAAAATAAAACTCAAAAAAATATTTAAAAAATAGTAAAATATAAAGGAAAAAAAAAGGAAAAGAAGCAGGACAACACCCTTCTTATCCCTTCTGCCAGTTCTCTTTTCACCTAAACTCTATTTTAAGGTCAGCTGTCTTGTGCCATCATAAAAAAAGCATTTACCAAAATGCAGTTTTTAGAGCATGAATTTGAGTTTTGTAATTTTGAATTTGTAAGATTAGTCATTGCAAAAATTCGTTGTTAGGTAACACACAGTTATCTTAACATGGAAAGTATTGATACGTTAGGTGACAGTTTTTTAGAAAATCTCTTGAATAAAGCAATTTTTAATGGTAAAATAAATAGACTATCCTTTGCTGTACAAAATAAATTGTTTATGTTGCGTTTTATTGTCAAAACTCATACGCACTGTAACCCACAGCTGTGAGTTTCATGAATAATTAAATTACAATGTATAAGTGAAAATTAATTTCATAGTAAATTCTATAAAGTGAGCCTTTTTATTTTGGCTACATTGAGGCACACATGCTCTTTGGCATGGCGCACAGCTTGTCTCAAGTTGTGGCTCGTGGGCTTCAGAGATCAGGTTCAGTAGTTGTGGTGTGGCGGGTTCTCTGGCTTAGTTGCCCCGAGGCGTGTGGAATCTTACTTAGTTCCTCAACCAAGGATTGAACCAGCGTCCCCTGCATTGGAAGGTGGATTCTTTTTTTTTTTTGGAAGGTGGATTCTTAACCACTGGAGCACCAGGGACGTTCCATATAAACTGAGCCTTTCTTGAACTATCTCTTAGCTGAAGTAAGGGAAAGGAAGATACAACAGGTAAGAAATACAATAAATGTTGCGTTAAGTATTTATTTTTTAAAGAATCAGCCTTTTCACTTTCTCACTAAACTCTCAGCGAGGTCAGGGTTGACTCCGAGCCATGCCTCTGTGAGAAAGAACATCATAATTGCATTGCTCTGGATTGCTTGTGAATGTCTGCAGCTCACCCTGATGGTACAGTATAATTCCACATCAGGAATTCTGCATTATCAAGAGATCTTGTCTGAGTCCCATTTGTATGCCCTTGGGGATGAGTCACGGGGAGGCCCTTTGGAATGCTCAGGGTCACATTCCCTTCCCCAGCGTGTGGAGAGCTGGGGCAGAGGTTTAAAGCCCAGTGAATGCTGGAGGGAAAACAGGAGCCCCACCCTCAGCTGGCTGAGAGCCACGGCAAGTGAGGTCAGCGGAGGTCACTGTGCCGCACCAGGGGCTGCTCTGCTCAGTTCCTCGGAGACTGTGTTTAAACCTTTTGTCAGAGAGAGCAATATGTCCATTCATATAGCACTTAGAGGGAAGACCTTTTGTTTTCATTTGATGAGATGAAAAAATACCCATTTTTCGTTTGAGTTCCAAGTGAATTTCAAAGGCTTGTGGCTGAGTCAGTAGAAAATACATTAGAGTAACTCTGACTATAAGTCCGGGCTTTCTCCTCACTGATCTGGCATTGCTGTCTGATCGTAATGTTCCCGCTGAAGATAGGAGGGTAAAATTAGCAAGAATCTGCCCGTATTGATTAATAGTAGGGAGAAGACAGTGTACTATCCTTCTTCCAACATGTGAGGCAGAGCAGAACTTTTCAGAAGTATGTCTGGCGAACCACGGTGATCTCTACAGCTTTCTTGGGACTTGATGAACTGGGAGCATCTTGTTCAACCTGTGGATTGAAATCAAATATGAAAAACAAAGGACACAAATAGATATTTCTTTATGGACCAACAAAGAGATGCTTTAGTACAGAACCCCATAAAGTTCCAAGGACACATCATTTTGCCTCTTTGTTACCCATTAATCTTAGGAAAAGTTATTGTGCTTACACTGAGAAAGTATCACCAAGGTGCACTTATGCATGAGAAGCTAGTTTTTGGAACCTGTAACCTCCTAGCAAACAGCCCAGCCACCCTTTGCTTGACCTGTTTGCCTTGAGTGGAAAGGGCCCTGGATGTGCAGCTATTTTGGGTCCCAGATGCACAGGAATTCTACTTCGTTCCTGGAATCCAGCCTGAACAATCTCACTGTGTTTGAGAAGGGGCAGAGACCTGAGTCAACATGACTTAGTGACTAAACCACCACTAAACCACCACTACAGAGATCTGGGGCAATGTGGACCCAGATATTGACTTTTTTGTAATTAAAAAATATTTATTTTTAATATAATATTTAATTTATTTTTAAATTTGGTTTTGGCTGCACTGGGTCTTCATTGCTGTGCACGGGCTCTTTCTAGTTGCAATGCACAGGCTTCTCGTTGCGGAAGAGAAGCGGCCCTAGACCACAGGCTCAGCAGTTGTGCACAGGCTTAGTTGCCCCGTGGCAAGTGGAAACCTCCTGGACCAAGGATTGAACCTGTGCCCCCTGCATTGGCAGGTGGATTCTTTACCACTAGACCACCAGGGAAGTCCATGGACCAAATATTTTTTACTAATCCCATTACGCTGTTATTATACCTGATCCATTCCCCATCTGATTTTGTATGTGTTTTCTAAATTCTTAACTGTTTAGAACATAGACTGTAAACCTCTTGAACAGAGGGAACTTGGCACATAGAAGCTTTTTAGTAAAATTTCTTTTAAAGTTATTTTATTATTCTTATTGTTATTTTATTTATTTTTTGGCTGTGCTGCGTGGCATTTTGGGTCTTAGTTCTTTGACCAGGGATTGAACTCACGCCCCTCCCTGAATTGGAAGCTTGGAATCCCAACCACTGGACCACCAGGGAGGTCCCTGGATTATTGATATTTTCGGTTAACATGGAATTAAAAGGGTGGTAGCATGTGTCCCACCCTGGACTAGATAATCTTTGAGACTCATTTTCAGTGCTGTAATTCTACAAAAACAGCCATCCTCTTTAATGTAAAAAGTATTGGAGACCTTGTCTCTTTGCTTCATTATGTTTTTGTAGATGTAGAGAGGGCACCCATCAATTTCTTATATTCAGAAGCTGCGTCCAGCCTTTGGAGACATAAATGGTGGGCTCTGTACCTGTTAACAATTTCAGGGATGATTTTTTTTTTTAATAAAAAGCACAACTATAAAAAGTACAAAATTGGATACAAGGCCTGTGTGCAGGTCCCATGGGTCCTGAATTTAAGCTTCATTAATTTCATAGTAAATTTACCTGTACTTAAAAGTCTATCATAAGATTCCTGGTCCCACTCTAGCCATTCTGATTCATTATATCTGATCCCCAGAAGTAGATATTTTCAGTAAGTACCCTATTGCATTATAGCAATATTGTACCTGCCCATTTCCTGACACATAAAAGAATTACCCACATTTGCTTCACAACTGAAGCAGCTCCCTGTCTCCCAAAATTTATACATGAACCCCATTTTCTCCAGGCAAATGGCAATGGCCATACAGAAAGCACTTTCCTTTTTGGGCTGAGAGTCAGGCTGGGATTCAGCTGTCCCAGATTGCTGGTCTTCCTTCCTTGGCCTTCTCCACAACCGCTGGCACTGGCATAGCTTTCTGACTCGTTGGCATCCACTCTGAAGGGGGAAAATGACTGGTATTAACTTCAGGTGGCTGGTATGCATCTGATTATCTTCCAAACCTCACATCAGACAATTTAAAGAAAATCATCTCTCTCTCTCTCTCTCTTTTTTTTTTTTTTTGCCATATCACACAGCTTTTGAAATCTTAGTTCCCTGACCAAGGATGGAATCCAGCCCCTGGCAGTGAAAGTGCAGAGTTCTAACCATTAGACCACCAGAGAATTACCAAGAATCATCCCTTCTAAAGAAAAGCAAATATTCATTCCTCTTGGCTGTATCCTCCCTAGAGAATGTCCAAGTACCACATAGGAAAGGAATTTGCATTTAGTAAGCGCCTCCTGTATGCCAGGGGCCTTCCCAGGTAGCTCGGGTAAAGAATCCGCCTGCCAAGCAGGAGAAGACTCAGNCCTAGGTCAGAAAGATCCCCTGGAGGAGGGCATGGCAAGCCACTCCACTATTCTTGCCTGGAGAATTCCATGGACAGAGGAGCCTGGTGGGCTACAGTCCATGGGGTTGCAAAAGAGTCAGACACGACTTAGAGGCTAAACAGCAACCTATGTGCCAGAAACCTTTCTCACAGAACCTCACTGGAACTTCTTAACCACCATAAGAGGCAAATATCATTAGTCCCGTTTTAAAGATGAGGCAACTGAGGTTGGAGAAGGCAAACAACTTTCTCCAAGCCACTCAGCTAGTGAGTGTTGAATGGCAGGTGTGTCCACACTCCAAAGTCTGTGCTTTTCTCATTATGCCCGCCTGCCTCCGGGACAGAAGGAGGTCTTCATAGATCAAGTCCAAGGACCCAGCACATCAGCAAACTTACAGGGAATGGGACCTCAAAAATGACGAACACGGTGATGGCGATTCCACTGACAAACAAGGTGACTGCAATCAGAACTTTGACCACGATGCTCCATTTCCTCCTCCTCTCCAGGTTCTCATCTGTGTCTCAAAGGAGAGAGCAGTGGGCAGGGAGAAGCGAGAACTGAAGAGAGGAAAGAGACTGACATTTGACTTGCAGGACTCCTGGTTCACAAGACCAAGAGGGGCCCAGCCTGCTTCAGAGGCAGAAACTGAATTTCCAGTTCAGACTCAAGAGTCAGGAGTGGGGGTAGGCAGCATGGCCTCTGCCCTCACCTCCTTTTCAGTTTCTTCCCAGAGTTGCCTTTACTAGAATTTGGAATTTTTCCATGATCAAGTAGGATTGATTCTTTTTTAAAATTTTCAATTGGAGGATAATTGCTTTACAAATGGTGTGTTGGTTTCTGCTGTACCACATGAATAAGCTACACACACACACACACACACACACACACACACACATCCCCACCTTCTTCTGCCTCCCTCCCATTCCCTTCATCCCACCTCTCTAGGGTCATCACAGAGCACCAAGCTGAGCTCCCTGTGTTATAAAGCAACTTCCACTAGGTATCAGTTTTATAATGGTAATGTATATATGTCAATGCTACTCCCCCAATTCATCCCCCCGTCCTTCCTCTGCTGGGTCCGCAGGTCCATTCTCTGTGTCTCTATTCCTACCCTGCAAACAGGTTCATCAGTACCATTTTTCTAGATTCCATGATATTTGCATTAATACACGATATTTGTTTTTCTCTTTCTGACTTGCTTCACTCTGTGTAACAGGTCTAGGTTCATCCACCTCACTACAACTGACTCTTAATTCATTCCTTTTTATGGCTGAGTAACATTCCATTGTATATATGTACTACAACTCCTTTATTTCCATTCATCCGTTGATGGACATCTAGGTTGCTTCTGTGTCCTAGCTATTGTAAATAATGCTGCTATGAACATTGAGGTCCATGTGTCTTTATGAATTACGGTTTATCACAGTGTGTGCCCAGGAGTGAGCTTGCTGGGAGGACTGATTCTTGCACTGCTTTCATGGGAAGCAAAGCTACACGAGGGAGTCTGTCTCTAGCCACCCTCTCAGGACCTCTGCCCTTGTACCCCAGCACACATACCACATGGGATTAGCAAATCAACTTTTCTGTGTTCCTTTCAGTTTAGTGGGGCATAGTAGGATTAGGGGGCTTTCCTGATACCTCAGTTGATAAAGAGACCCAAGTTGCAATGCAGGAGACCCTGGTTCTATTCCTAGGTTGGGAAGATCCCCTGGAGAAGCGATAGGCTACCCACTCCAGTATTCTGGCCTAGAGAATTCCATGGACGGTATAGTCCATGGGGGTCACAAAGATTTGGACGCGACTGAGCGACTTTCAGTGAATTGCCATCATTTTGGGGTCATAAGCCAAATTTGGGGACAAATGGCTCATAAGCATCTTTGTTATTATTAATCTTATATTTACATTTCTCCTGTTGGAACTGGGAAGTAACCCAACTGGAATCCTACAGAATTTGAGTCCTGGCCAATTTAGCAAGGGCTATTCTTAACGCAGATAAAGACATGCTTCTTAGTTGTTGTCATCACTGTAATGATTGATTAGAGTTTAAACATTGTCTCTCTGTTCACACATTGGATCTTACCCACTACACCAGAACCCTGTATGTTGTACCCAAATCTGGCAACAAGGTGAACTCACTTGTGTGGAGGTGAAGAATTATTAAAAGTATCAAACTACAGACATTTCTGGGACCTTCTTAACAGAGAAGCTGATTTTTTTCCCATAAGAAATGGAGTGATATTCTCATGCAAACTGTCTGTAGCTTTTCTACTTCCAGGAAAATTCTTGGAGACCCAGGCTAGTGCTGGGGCTGAGAAATCTTCTGTCTGTTCTTGTCTCACCTCTACACATTCTGTACCTTGATTCAGAGGACTAGAAAAACCATCAATCTTTGTAGTTTTCTCTCCTTTTTTTCCAGGAGTTATGGAGGTACTAGTGGAGGGATAAGTTTCTGATGAAGCCCCCATCACTGGATAGACCTTACACTGAGAGACCCCTGGTAAAAAAGCTGTAAAACAAGAAAGAAACAATGAAGGGACAGCTGAGAAAACTTTATCCTGGCTTTGATTTCACCTGACAAAACCCTGAGTTTACCCAGCTGATATAAAACTTCTCACTGTGGCTCTGTTGATCTGTTCATAGGTTCAAGGCCTTGATAACAGGAAAGAATGAGTGAGGATATAGTAATGAGATATGGATTAAATCCCTTGATGCTTCTGACTAATCAGAATGAAGGAGTGGACCATGTTTTCTTGGCTTATCACTCATACAGCCATAATAATAATAAGGATGGGAAGATATGGCACTGTTGAAAGTCCCTTCTTTAAAAAAGATCACTTCAAAGTCCAAGGAAGGACTGAAGTAGTATAGTTCGCCTTAATGACTGTGGCAGGTCTGTCTAGTGAGTGAAGTCTAAGTCAATGACTTTGAGAGAGAATTGGAAAAAGAGGAGGAACTGAAAGAAGGGGAGACCACTCAGCTTCACGCACCCCTCAATTTCATTCTTTCAGCATATATTTAAAAATGACGATCTAGGGACTTCCCTGGTGGTCCAGTGGTTCAGAATCCATCTTGCAATTCCGGGGGGATGTGGGTTTGATCCCTGGATGGGAAACTAAGATCCCACATGCTGCACAGCCACTAAGCCCATTCGGATGTGACGAGAGTCCATGCGCCGTGATGCAATGGAGATCTCGAGTGCCGCAACTAAGACCTGGTGCAGCCACATCAGTAACCATTAAAGAAATGAATATCTAGTTGTGCCAAGGTCTGCTTCCATACTGTGGACATAGCAGCTGAACACACTCTAGCCTGGGAGCTAGCAAAGGGGAAGGAGGACTGAGGGAGGACATGGAGAAACAGACAGTAAGTACAGTGAGTTCTGTGTTGTTGGTTAGAAGGGGATGAGTGCTATGGAAAGAAAGAAAGTAGAGCGCCGCGTGGGGGGGTGCAGGTGGGCAGTGGTTGGGCAACTTACCGGAGTTTCATTGAGAAGATGAGGACTGAACAAAGATGTGAAGGAGGTGAGGGGAGTAGTCAAACAGATGCTGGGGAACTTAGGTAGAGGGAACAGTCACAGGCCCAGGCCAGAGTGTGTCCCGCCTGTTACAGTTTTTTTTTTTTTCTTTTAATTTTTTTTTTTTCCATTTCTGTTACAGTTTTAGAGGAAAAACACATAAGCCAGTGAGACTGGAGTGAGTGACAGTTCGTAGGGGATGAAGGAGTTTCTGAAGCAAAGAGGTCCACATCACTGGGCCTTGCAGGCCAGTTTGAGGACTTCAGTTTTTGTTCTGCTTGGAATGGTGATCCATTGCGAGTCTTTTTGCAGAGAAGTGATCGGATGGATGGCTTTGTTTTTAAAGAATCAGTGGGCTGCTGAGTTGGAAATGGACAGTAGAGGGGCACCTGATAGAAGCAGAGCAGCCTGCTAAGAGACTCTTGCAGAATCCAAGTGAGAGATGACAGGGACTCAGACAGCCGTGGAAAAGATGGAATGCGGATGGATGCTGGCTGTGGTCTGCAGCCACCTTCACATGCCTCCAGAATTGATCTAACCCAATTCAGATAGTGGTTCCTATTCTATTTTTAATGGTCTCCTGTCATTGCCTATTACATTAAGGTTTGTACGTCCTACTTGACTTTTCTGAACTGCTCTCCCAGGTCTTGAGTCTATGTGAAAATGACAGTTCTTTACTTCAGAGACCAGTGGGCACAGTACCAGGTACTGTACACGAATTGCAGGGGAATTAGTCCTATTATTATTTAATCAGGAAGACTGTTGGCAAAGATAACCAGAGACAGAGTCAACAGGCTCAAAAGGGAAAGCGAGAGAATTACATAGAATTTTTTTTCCATCATAGCGCCAGTCAGTTCTGTGGAGTGATAACTGATGTGTTTCCAGGTCGGATGAGATAAAGGTAAATAAATCTCACTTTGGACAAGTAACAGAAGTTCTCTCTGAGTTTTCGTTTCCTTCTCTGCAGGATGGTTATAGCAAAATAATTCTTGGTCTGTTTCACAGGAGTGCTGTGAAGATAGGTAACAAAAACGAGGAAGCAGGTGTGAAAAACACCTGGCAAACTGAGTGATGTTATGATTGAAAGAGGAGGAAAGGGGAATCCCTGGCTGTCCAGTGATTAGGGTTGTGCACTTTTATTGCTGAGGGCCGGGAGTTCGATCCCAGGTCAGGGAACAGCAATTCCACAAGCAGTGTAGTGTGGCCAGAACATAAATAACCAACCAACCAACATTTAAAAAAAGAAAGAGGAGGCAAAACCTACAGATGCTCCCTGAATAGAACTAACTGTGCCCACTAGCCACAGGGATCATGGTATTTCAGTGTGGCTTTTCTTCTACCTCCTGGGGGCACTGTTTCAAAACCTACTTAATAGGCTTCATCGCTCAGTGTATTTCCAGTTCTTCCCAGCTTGTAAATTAATGTCCAGGGCTTCCCTATCCCTAGTGGCCCAGTGGTTAAGAATCCACCTTCCAACGAAGGGGACAAGGATTCAATCCTTGGTCCGGGAAGATTCCACAGGCTGAGGGGCGTAACTAACCCCGTGCACCGCAACTATTGAGCCCGCACTCTAGAGCCTGTGCTCCGCAACAGAAGGTGCTGTAAGGAGAAGCCCGCACACAGCCACTGGAGAGCAGGCCCCCGCTCCCTGCGGCTAGGGAAAGACGGCAAGCAGCAACAAAAACCCAGCGCGGCCAAAAACAAAGAGTTCTCAGTTACTGTCTAAATTAATGTTCATCCCCGTGGGCATCTCCTCCCTTTTAGGCCTCCTCTGCTAGGAATTCAGATGGAACACGTTTGTAAACACAAACACACTCCATTCCCAGTGCTGATGCAGTTCAACATTAGCTTTTCTTTGGTTAAGGATATTTGAGCAAGAATTCCCTCACTTTTAGAAGCTCTACAAAAATCCAGATTGATGAAATGGACAACTTAGGAGATGATGCTTTCCTTTATTACAAAATAATTTGTTTTAAATAGGAAGCATTAGGTACATTATATTTAAATGGAAATCTTAGAGATTATTCTGCAATAATACTAACAGCTTGAAAAGGCTATTTAAGAAGCCTTACATATTGCTGGGGGCTTACATACCTAGAAATTAGACCATCTAGTCAAATCTCTCATTTGTAGCTATGGAAACTGAGCATTGGAGAAATTAAGTAACTTGTCAACGGTGATAATATCAGAATAAACACTTGTTTGATGTTACTGCTCTTGTATCCCACAGTGTTACATGGGGTGAACAGACAGCAGGAAGCAGTTAATACTAATCAAATGCCAAAGAGCTTAATCCATGCCCTAAAATTACATTTAAAAGATTTACATAGATTTGCCTAAAGAAGAGGCTAATCCAAGTCCTTGAGACTTTAGCTCCACTTAGGGGGCTTCCCTGGTGGCTCAGATGGTAAAGAATCTTCAATGAAGGAGACCCAGGTTCAATCCCTGGGTGGGTAAGGTCCCTTGGAGAAGAAAATGGCAACCCAGTCCAGTGTTCTTGCCTGGAGAATTCCATGGACAGAGGAACCTGGCGGCTACAGCCCATGGGTCACAAAGAGTCGGACACAACTGAGTGAGTAACACTCACTTTCAAGCTCCACCTGCCTCCAAGGATGTCAATTCAAAGTGAGTGCCTACCTCCATCCCAGCTTCTAACCTCACCTTTGCCCATCACAAGGAATCCAGCCTGAACCTTGGATGCAGGAGTTAGGTAGCAGCTTGGGGGGGCCGTGCTGTTTCTGCAGGGAACAGTCATGACTCTCAGGTTCTTCAGAATGTGCTTGACCTTTTGCCTTTTTCCTGAATGTACAAGGTTAACTTTCACTTTGCTCCCAGAACCAAGACACTGCAAGGTAGCCACAGTCTGGTTTTGGATGAATGTGGGCCTTTTGGCTTCTGCCTGAGCTTCTGAAAAGAGAAAAACAAGAGAGGAAAATGAAGCCAGTTCTTAATCTGAATGGTGCCCCTCCAACCCACTTCCATTCACGACCCATTATTGTACTTTCTTCTCTTTTTCCATCAGATCTTCCTCAGCATGTGTCTATGGTACTAAATATATAAGCGCTGCCTTTTCCCCTTCCTGCCATGGGTCCCATGAAGACCAGTGGTGACTGTAGTAAGTGCAGAGAGATGCTCCTAAGTTGTTTTCTCTAACACAGAGGGGCCTGAGATCTGCTTCCTCTTTCTTCACCCCATCTCTTTGATTTATGTTGCTATGTCTTAGTTCATAAGAGTTTATCTTTTTTAACAGAAGCTGATTATTTATTTATGTGGCAAAGCACATGTGATCTTAGTTCCCCAACCAGAGATTGAACCCGTGCCCCCTGCCTTGGAAACACAGAGTCTTAACCGCTGGACCACCCGGGAAGTCTCCATAACAGTTAATTTAAAAATGGGTTTTCAGGGACCTCCCTGATGGTCCAGTGATCAGGACTCCACACTTCCACTACAGGGGCACAGTTTCCATCCCTGGTCTGACATCCCTGCATGCAGCATAGCCAGAAAAGAAAAAAACAAAGGTTTCCAGAAAGCCTCTCAGGATCGATAGCTTTAGAATAGAGTGTTTGAGAGCTGGGCTCAGAATGGAGGAGACAAGCATCTTTTGAAGGTAAAAAAGGTCCTGGGGTGGCAAAATGATTCTTCAGGAAGGGCCCATTGCCTACCTCGAGTTAGCTCAGCTCTGATGCTTCTCACATCCTTTGGGAAGAGATCGGGCAGTGGTCCCACTTGGCAGCTGCTATCCCTGAGTTCTGGGGGAGGGGGAAAAAAGGTAAGGATTGACTGGTCCTTTCTGTTTGGAATTCTGGGCACTGGAGAGGGAGATAAAAAAAGAATGCAGTTTCTTCTCATAAAACTTGAAGTTGGGGAGATCAGACATTTCCCCCAATTTTTTTCTTTGCTGCACCTTGCAGCATGCAGGTTTCCCAACCAAACTGTGTCCCCCTGCGTTGGAAGTTCAGAGTCTTAACCTCTGGACTGCCAGGGAATTCCCAGAACTTTAAGATTTATGCAAGTGGGAGGTAGCAAAGTATAAATAAAACTAAATACCAGTTTATTATCCTTAGGGGGGAGAAAAGATAAGAGTTAACTAAGTTAATGAAAGATGAACCAACCCATTCCTTCAAACACTGCTTATTATCACTTCCCCTTCCTGTCCCATCTACCTTCTTATATTAAAACTGTTGAAAGTTTATTTATTAAGTGTAACATTGGACAAGGTATCTCTCTAGCTTCACATAGAACCATAGGTCACAGTTATGCTTTTTGGCACATAAGTCACAGGGTTCTTCATTTGTTAAATTTGTTGCTGCCGCACCTCATGCTGTTTGGCCTTAGCTCTGATGAGCTAATTTTAGAGATGAGCCATTTATGACACTTGAAAAATCATGTTTTAAATAAACAGTTATCAAAGAGCAGTTGCTGCTGCTGCTGTTTAGTTGCTTCAGGCGTGTCTGGGTCTTTGCAACCCCATGAACTGTAGCCCACCAGGCTTCTCTGTGCATGGGATTTCCCAGGCAAGAATACAGGAGTGGGTTGGCATTTCCTTCTCCAGGGGATCTTCCTGACCCAGGGATCGAACCCAAGTCTTCTGCATTGGCAGGCAGATTATTAATAATCTGAGCCACCAGGGAAGCCCATTAAAGGGCAGTGAGTGGTACCCTCACATTACCTTTTCTCTCAGCTTTCCCCCCCCCAAGATCATCCCCATCTTTTAGGACATAATGCTTTAGAAAAGGAAGACATCTGGACATCCCTGGTGGTCCAGTGGATAAGAATCCACTCGCCAAAGCAGGGGACACAGGGTTGATCCCTGATCCAGGAAGATTCCACACACCGAGGGGCAACTAAGCCCCACATCTACTGAGCCCACACTCTTGAGCCCGTGAGCCACAACTCCTAACTCATGTGCTACAACTACTGAAGCCCGCATGCTCTAGAGCCCGTGCTCTGCAACAGAGAAGTCACTGTGATAAGAAGCCTGTGTCACCACAACTAGAGAAAACCCACACACAGCATTGAAGACCCAGTGCAGCCAATAAATAAATAAATAATTTTTAAAAGGAAGATATCTTATGAGGGGTTATGAATTTGGGAGTCTTAGTGAAACTGTGACAACACCTTCCAGCAAAGAAAGCTCTCTAACAGTGAAAGGAATTTTAACGTTAGTTACATGAACAAAATAGAAGAATGCATCACATTCTCTGAAGACTTCCTCCCATGAAACAGACAGCTGTCTTTCTGAGTTTAATATGTTCTATTTAGAGGCTATCTGGGGTGACTGGAAAGCCTCATGTGCTGAGTTTTGCCTGTGTCTTTATCTGACAGAATAGACCCCCAAATACTTTCTAGGCCTCTCTCAGGATTTCTCAGGACAGTCGGCCAGAAGAGTACTTACCTTTTTTGGTAGCATCATAGGATGTGATGATCAGGCTGAAAACCAAGATGGTATCCATGTTAGCTTGAGCACATTCTCCTTGTAGAGACTGTATGTGGCTGGTCTGACACCACCACTCACAGCCTTGTCTCTAAATGCTTTCACTGCCCTATAACTAAGTTTGACCCTGGGCGAGTCTGGTTCCACCCTAATTGATCTGCCACATTTTCTCAGGACCCAGGAATAGAGTTTATTGGAGAGACAACCAAGTTTCCTTGTTAATGATTGATTCAGGATATCTTCACCTGACTTCACTGCTGGTGGGGACATAAGGAACTGTAACTAGAGGTTTCCCCTGGAGAAAGGGCATAAACAGGGCATAAACAGAGGTGATATGGTTGACACGATATGCTTTACAAATACTCGCAGGGAGACACGTAGACATTCGCTGCATGCTCACTGACACGGGCACATAGATTTACACACCAACATAAAGAGGTGCTGAGATTTCTATTAAGGAAAATGATTTCTAGAGTAGCACAGACAGCTAGGACTGATTCAGTGAGTTACACTGGAGAGGGCGCAGGACTGGGAATCATCAGAAGTGGGTTCCAGGTGAGCCCCTGCAGTTAAATGTATCAATGTGAGAAAGTTGCTTGACTTCTCTGAATTACAGTTTTCTCCTCTGTAAATGGAGCGTTCCAACCCAGTCATCTCTAGAATTCATTCACTGTTATACACATAAACTTACCTGAGCACAGATGTACCTGTCTAGTTGTGCACATTTTCACACTTCTGAAAAATGAAGTGAGGGAATTCCCTGGTGGTCCAGTGGTTAAGAATCTGCCTGGCAATGCAGGGGACATGGGTTCGATCCCTGTTGGGGGAACTCAGATCCCACATGCGATGGGGCAGCTAAGTCTGTACACCTCAATTAGAGAGAAGCCTGCACACCTCAAGGCAGAACCCATGTGCCACAGTGAAAAGGTCCTGTGTGGCGCAACCAAGACCCAATGCAGCCAAAAAGAAACAAACAAGTAAATATTTACCAGATAAAAAAGTGTCGTGACTGTAGGTGGACCACATTCACACGACTGTTGGGATGAGAAGTGAGAAGAGCTAACTGCACTAGAAGAGTGATACTGTGTGCAGTTTGGGAAGGCTTTCCTAAACATAACTGTTGTAGATTTTTTGAAAATTGTATTTTTTGATAAAGAGTATATATCTTGCATAGGGAGCTTCCCTGGTGGCTCAGATGGTAAAGAATCTGCCTACAATGCAGAAGACCCGGGTTCAATCCCTCGGTTGGGAAGATCCCCTGGAAAAGGGAATGGCAACCCACTCCTGTATTCTTGCCCAGAGAATTCTGTGGACAGAGGAGCCTGGCAGGCTACAGTCCATGGTGTTGCCAAGAGTCAGACATGGCAGCTACCATCACTTTCAACAGCATAACAGTCCATCTCGTGTAATACTTTTAGACCTTGTGGCACCATGGCTAGGGGGATGATAAAGCAGAAACGAAGATCTACTCAGACCCTCTGCCTGAATCCAGAGGCTCTGCGGTCGCTTTACCCACTGTGAGTGCACTTACTCCAGTGACTATGCATAAGTTGGTTCTAGAGGGTGATGCTCTGATGATATAAAGGGAGCTCGATTCAAGGAATTTTCCATAAGGGAGTTCATAAGATCTAAGTCAAATCATAATTTAAGTACTATTCTGTTTCCTGACATTTTAATTCAGGTTGCAATCTGGTTAAGTGGAGCATGAAGGAAAATCTTGGTGGGAAAACAGAAAGGACAGAGGTGTCCCTGAAAGACGTGTTTCCTGAAACGTGGAAGGAGGGGAAGAAGTGCTGAGCATGCAGCCACAGTGCCTTTCTTTTCATTCCTTCACGCTACACATCTTTATTATGTGCCTACTGTGTGCCAGACACCTTTCTCACAGTGAGCCAGCCNTTCCCAACTCAGAGATCGAACCCATGTCTCCTGCGCCTCCTGCATTAGTGGTGGATTCTTTCCTACTGAACCATCTGGGAAGCCCCAAATAGGGTAGGGGGCTAATAATAAGCAACACACAAATACGTATACAAGATAATTAAAGATTGTGATAATCATCATGAAGCAACAGGGTGGTGAGGTGGAGAACTGACAGAGGCCACTTGATTATTAAGCTACTTTTTAAAAAGTAACTTAATTTTATTTATTTATTTTTGGCTGTGCTGGATCTCCGTTGCCGTGCTTTCTCTAGCTGTGGCGAGTCAGGGGCAGCTTTTGGTTGCGGTGCACGAGCCTCTCATTGCAGTGGCTTCTCTTGTTTCGGAGCACGGACTCTGGAGCGTGTGGGCTCAGTAGCTGTGGCACTTGGGCTTAGTTGCTCTGTGACTGGTGTAATCTTCCCGGACCAGGAATCACACCTGTGTCCCCTGCATTGGCAAGCAGATTCTTTACCCCTGGACCACCAGGGAAGTCATTATTATTATATTATTAGGCTGTGCTGCATGACTTGCAGGATCTTAGTTCCCCACCCAGGGATGGAACCTGGTCCCTCGATAGTAAAAGTTCAGACTGAACCCTGGACCACCAGGGAATTCCCAGAAGCCACTTTAAGTAAGGGAGTCAGAAAAGACTTCTATGAGGAGGTGGCATCTGAGCTAAGGAAACCAGGAGAGTGGATGTCCTAGAAGCCAAGAAAGGAGGGTATTTCAAGGAAGGAATTGTGAATTGGTCAAATGCTGAGCGGAGTGTATAAGGAGGATAGAATGTTCACTGGATTTAACAATTTTGTTAACAGCGGTTCTAGCGGAGTTGGTGGACGTAGCCGGGGTTTAAGAGTGAACTGGAGGTGAAGAAGTGTAGGTCATCTTTGAAAGACATCTACCTATGGAAGGGCACGAAGTGAAGCAAGGCAAGTGGAGAGAACCTCAGCGCCTCAGATCATCTTCAGTGGTCCAGAGCAGCGCTGTCTCCGTTGCCAGATTCTCCTGGCAGGGCAGGTGGGTAGAGAGTGAAGGGGTTCCGTTGCTTTTCCTCGGTTTCATGGTTTTTGCTTACTAGTTCATTAACGCGATTGCATGGTTCTCTGCTCCCTTCTGGTAGCAGACAATTTTCCCTGCTGTCTGTCGCTCTGTCTGAAATTTTCTGTCCATTAGCATCTGGGTAGCCTGTTTCAGTCCCGCTCCCTTGGAGCAAGTGTAGGAAAGGCTGAGAGGGCTATTCTCATTCTCTGTCACTAGGTGGCAGAAGAACTCACTCTTTGCAAAAACAAAGCTTGTGCTAGGAGTTCACCAACGCAATGGACAGGAATTTGAGCAAACTCCAGGAGGTTATGGAGGACAGAGGAGCCTAGCGTGCCACAGTCCACGAGGTCTCAAAGAGTTGGACATGACTTAGTGACTGAACAACAACAAGCCAGGACAAAGAGAAGAAGAGTTTTCTTTTCTTTTTTTGGCCATGCTGCGAAGCACATGGGATCTTGGTTCCCCAACCAGGCACTGCACCCGTGCCCCCTACAGTGGAGGCAAAGAGACAGGGAACTTCCCCTACAGTGGAGGTGAGGAGCCCTAAACACCGGACCAGGGAACTCCCCGGCAGAGTTTTGTCTTATTGACTCTCAGACCCTTCCCGGAAGTCAGCCAGCAGGTTGGAGCCGAGTTACTGTGGGGTACAGAGAAGCCGGAGATCTTCATTAATGAGTCAGAATATCCAGTAGTGGAGAAACAGACACAGAACTGTTTCTATATGACTAGATTTTCCCACCCCTTCTACTCAACATTTTGAGTGGTTTTCTAAATGTTTGCAATATCTATAGAGGGGGCAATCTCCTTCCTGATCTCATTTTCCCCACCACAAAACTTCCAAGTTTAGGAGGAAAACAAGCTGTAAGGTAGTGAGGTTCATGGAGTGTGAAAATGAGAGATGCGACTTTGAAGACAGTAGGAAACTAGAGCTGATGGGGTGAGTCTGGATGGGTATCTGGAGCACTTGACCAGAAGACAGGAGGCTCACCTAGGTTCCGGATTAGGCTCTGTAATCGACTGAGTCACTTTGAGTAAGACACTCATCTTTTCTGACTTCTGTTTCAGTTTCTTGAATGAGATGGTTGGACAAGATGTTTTCAAAGGGCTCTTCCAGCTTGAAAATGATCTCAGTGCTACATTCTGCTACTCTATCTTTTAAGAGTGTGTATTTTTTATTTGTTTGGGTTTATGTTTAATTCGTTTATTGTGGAATATAGCATGCCTATAGAGGAGTGTATAGAACATAAGCATATTTTTAAAAATTATTTATTATTTATTTAAATAATAGGTCTTATTTGTAGTTCTTGGGGTCTTCAGTTGTGGAATGTGGGATCTAGTTCCCTGACCAGGGATTGAACCCAGGACCCCTGCATTGGGCATGAGCACCCGTGCCCCCTACAGTGGAGGCAAAGAGACAGGGAACTTCCCCTACAGTGGAGGTGAGGAGCCCTAAACACCGGACCAGGGAACTCCCCGGCAGAGTTTTGTCTTATTGACTCTCAGACCCTTCCCGGAAGTCAGCCAGCAGGTTGGAGCCGAGTTACTGTGGGGTACAGAGAAGCCGGAGATCTTCATTAATGAGTCAGAATATCCAGTAGTGGAGAAACAGACACAGAACTGTTTCTATATGACTAGATTTTCCCACCCCTTCTACTCAACATTTTGAGTGGTTTTCTAAATGTTTGCAATATCTATAGAGGGGGCAATCTCCTTCCTGATCTCATTTTCCCCACCACAAAACTTCCAAGTTTAGGAGGAAAACAAGCTGTAAGGTAGTGAGGTTCATGGAGTGTGAAAATGAGAGATGCGACTTTGAAGACAGTAGGAAACCAGAGCTGATGGGGTGAGTCTGGGTGGGTATCTGGAGCACTTGACCAGAAGACAGGAGGCTCACCTAGGTTCCGGATTAGGCTTTGTAATCGACTGAGTCACTTTGAGTAAGACACTCATCTTTTCTGACTTCTGTTTCAGTTTCTTGAATGAGATGGTTGGACAAGATGTTTTCAAAGGGCTCTTCCAGCTTGAAAATGATCTCAGTGCTACATTCTGCTACTCTATCTTTTAAGAGTGTGTATTTTTTATTTGTTTGGGTTTATGTTTAATTCGTTTATTGTGGAATATAGCATGCCTATAGAGGAGTGTATAGAACATAAGCATATTTTTAAAAATTATTTATTATTTATTTAAATAATAGGTCTTATTTGTAGTTCTTGGGGTCTTCAGTTGTGGAATGTGGGATCTAGTTCCCTGACCAGGGATTGAACCCAGGACCCCTGCATTGGGCATGCAGAGTCTTAGCCACTGGACTACCAGAGAAATCCAACCAAGCATATTTTTAGTAATAATAATATGAACATATGTAACCATCACCCAGAGTAAGAAACTGAATATGGCCTGTAGTTTTCCTGGTAGCTCAGACAGTAAAGAATCTGCCTGCAATGCAGGAGACCCGGTTCATTCCCTGGGTCAGGAAGATCCCCTGGAGAAGAGAATGGCAACCCACTCCAGTTTCTTGCCTGGAGAATTCTGTGAACAGAGGGGCCTGGCAGGTTACAGTCCACGGAGTTGCAAAAGAGTCGGACCTGACTGAGTGACTATCACTTTCACTTTCACAGTGGCTGAGAAGCTCTTTATATGTCTATCCCTCTGGTCACACTCCTTTCCCTTCTCCCAATCATCAGTTTCCCAGACTTTTTAAAAAATAGTAAACTATCTATAACTAATATTTACTAATTTTAATAACTAAAAAATTACTTTTTAGTGCTCTTGTACTTTTTACCTGCTCTTGTACTTACATACTTTTTACCTGCTGTTGTACTTATGTAAATGGATAGATCACACCCTATGTAATTTAAAGTAAACTTTTTATTGCATATAACACAAAGTGGATCCGCTTCTCTTTGTGTTGTCTCCCAGTCACCACCCCTCATCAGGAGTAACCATGATTCAGATTTTTACCACCACAAGTGAATTTTGCCTATTTTTGAAGAAACACACTCTTTTGTGTCTGGCTTTTTTTTGCTCAACGTTATGGGTGTGAAATTCTTCCATATTGTTTCTTGCAGCAGTAGTTTGTTCATTCTCATTGCTTTATAATATTTTACTGTATGAAGGTATCATAATTTATTTTTTAAATTTTTATTGGGAGTATATAGTTGCTTTGCAATGTTGTATCAGTTTCTGCTGTATAGCAAAGTGAATCAGCCACATGTATACACATATCCCCTCCTCTTTGGATTGCACCATAGCTTATTTATCCATTCTACTGCTGAGAGATGTTGGGTTGTTTCCAATTTGGGACCAGAAGAGAAAATGTTCCTGGGACACATTTGAAAGTTTCTCCAGAGTATAAATCCGTAACTGGAAGCTGGGTTATAGCACATGCAGGGTATGGTCAGCTTCACTAATTAATGGCAAACTGTTTTCTAAGAGGTTGTCCCATTTACACTCCCACTGACAGTATATGAAAGTTCCTTTTGTCCCACAGGGGCCAAATTGCCTTTTTAGTGTGGTACAACCACGGGACTTTGCAGGGCCTGGCGAACGCTCACATTGCCAGCCTTTCAGTTCATTCTCAGACGTTCAGGCCAGAGCCACTTCTGTTTACTTGCTCCCTCCAAGTATGGGTAAAAGGTTCAGATGTAAGCCCAGTTCTCTGATCACATGCTCTGTTCCTCTGGGAATATTGGCCCTGGGCCGGGGTTGGGTAGTGAACTTAATACCGTAATCATTCCTGAATCCGTTGAGCATCCATAGGATATTCTGTTCTTACACTGAACATTAGTGGGACATGGAGAGGGGAACGGAAAGGGGGAAGTAATAGTTTTAGCCTGCCTCCAAGTTTTGTGTTAGAAACTTTACATTTTGGCTATAACACTTAATCCAAAACACAACCTTACAAGGTAGGTGTTCTATCTCAGTTTTATAGACAAGGAAACTGAGGCCCAGAAAGGGGGTCATTTGCTCTAGGTCATGGAGCTAATTAAGTGATGGAGTCAGGATGTGAAACCTGGTTTACCTGATTAAAGAGCTCAGTTCTTTACAGTGCAGAACACAGGGAAGGCAGCCTCCCTGCTTCGCTGTTGGCTAAGACTGCCAATACCAAGAACCAGTACTTCTCAGGACTGCTTCTCTGTATTCACCCCCAGAACTATACTAGCCAATCGATATGGCCATCTCATTCATTGACTTAAATTACATTTTATTTTCATTCATTTTTGGTTTCCACTTCTTTCTTTTCATTTCCATTAAGAAATTTGGGCATATCAGTGAAACAGGTCCACTGATAAACCTGCTGGTCTAGTATGTTAACTAGAGGTGAGATTTAAAAAGGCAGGGACACTGAAATCTTCTATTCCAAGTTATAAGAGAGGGAAACTTTAAGACTGAAGGGATGGGACTTCCCTGGTGTCTCAGTGGTAAAGAATCCACCTGCCAGTGCAGTAGACATGGGTTCAATCCCTGGTCTGGGAGGATCCCACATGTGGCAGAAAACTGAGCCCATTTCCCGCAACTACCGAAGCCTGAACCCCCTAGAGCCCATGCGCCTCAACAAGAGAAGCCATCACAATAAGAAGATCGCACACCACAGCTAGAGAAAAGCAACAAAGACCCAGCACATCCAAAAATAAATAAAATTTTAAAAATTATTTTAAAGAAGACTGAAGGGATGAAAAGGATGAAAGGAAGTTGAGTGATGGTTCAGTTTTCCTTGAAAGTTAAAGCTCTTCAAAAATGATTAGTGTTGTATTTTATTATTTATCATGTTTCATACATAATAGTAGGTACTTCCCAGGTGGTGCTAGCAGTTAAGAACCCACACACCAATGCAGGAGACCTAAGAGACGCAGGTTCAATCCCTGGGTTGGGAAGATCCCTTGGAGGAGAGCATGGCAACCCTCTCCAGTATTCTTGCCTGGAGAATCCCATGGACAGAGGAGCCTGGCAGGTTACAGTCCATGGGGTCACACAGAATT